CATTTTAACATATGCAGGAAAGCTGGCGTAAAGCTAGAAAAGAAGCATTGATACGAACACATCCCGAAGGCACGTCTTAATCCCATGGGCCATTCTCTTAGTGGGTTGTTAGGTGGAGTAACTTTGAATATATGATGGTAGGAGAGTAGATCTTGATATGACGTGATATGGGATGACTATGAATCACAGTTAACTAGACTGTTCAGTTATAACAACTTCATATTTTTCTTCCGATTCGATGTATATTTTATTTCAAGCATGCTCGCGTAACTGTTAGAAGGACTTGTACAGTCTCGGTTGCGGTGTCACCACAGCCGGCTCGTTAACGCAGCCGTCCAGCTTCGCCGCTCAACAAAGACTTCTTAGCTTCACAAGTTCGTTGGAGCAGTTTTACACAATTACCCCATCAAGGTCACTCAGCTTTCTCCACCATGCAGACATTAACTACTTTTCAAATCTCACATCATGGACAGTCATGTTAAATAATTTGTTTTTCCTGGATAAAGTAGCTCGATCAATCTACTGCCCAGTTACAAAATTATCCACTGTTTTTATATTGTGATATTTTTTTTTATTTGTAGTGTTCTGTCTGACGACAGGTCCATATATTATGAACAGGATCCTTCCAACCTCTTCAGGTTGTCAGGGACCTGCTCATACATATATACATTCTTGGCAGAGATGATCAGAAGTGGTTTGCCATTGCCTTCTTCTGTGTGTGAGTGGAGTAATTGTTGGGATGCCACGGAGAAACCGGAGAAGCCCCCGGAGGAAAACTCCGTGTTGCCTAGACCACGGCCTTGCCCAACACAAGTTATAAATTTGAGCACCACCGGGAATTGAACCCGGGACCCCAGGCTTACAAGGCTAGTGTTCTGACCGCTAGTAATGATGGGCCATATAGCGTGATATTACGATACTTTTTCTGCCTCCTCCTTTTGGTGTTTAAAAAATAAAGAATGAATGGTGGAGGCGGATTACTTACACATGACACGTATGTTTCGAGCAAATGGAGCAATATTAATTCAAGGCGTCTTTCCTTGTTCAGGTGCATTTGAACGTGATGAATCTGCAGCCATGTAGCAATGGTTCTCAGTGGACACATTCCCTTGCAGTGAAACGTATTCAAGAGGGATTAAACGTACCTTACACTTTGGAGAAATGTGATTTCGGGAATGGGTGTCAGTGTACGCTGGAAAGCGTCATACCCGAAAAGGCAAGAGGTATGGAATTCGATGCTCTTTATGTTGGCGAGTTAACAAAACTAGATTTAAAATCATATAAATGATTTAAGAATGTTTACTGCTAAAAGTAGGCTTCTTTCTGATTTTTGTTTTAATTGGTGTTCCGTCTAAAGTATGTAAGAGCGTTCGAATATGCTGTATTTGTCCTTTACTAGGAGAAACAGATTTATGAAGAATGTGAATTCAAAAACTTTAATTCATATTTATATAATGATGGGCCATATAGCGTTGAATGGTGAAATGATTAATGAATAAGGAGCGAACAGGTTATGGCCTGGAATTTGCCTGGAATACTAACCAGGAATGTTGCTGACTCGATCACTACATTCAGTTAGCATTTTAGTAGATTTATGCACTTAGCACAGAATAGACATTTTATTGATATTATTAGAATTAGAATTCTGTTAGTGTCATCAGATATGTTATAAGTAGTGATGTTTTGATGATGGGAAAATTTTGCCCTGAAACATGTCACAATAAGAATTAATGACATGGAGAAAGTTATTTATTGTAAATTGTTCTGTGAAACAAATTGAAAAGTAAGTAAAAAAAAGTTTGGAATATTTTTTAAGCAGACAAAGGAAGTGTCTGGATTGTTCGTGAAAGTTGTGAATTTTATAAGCTAAAGAAAAGAAGGCCTAATTGATCTGAATATCATTTTGGATTAGGTTAGCATAAATCAACCTGCAAGTCTCCTACGAATTATTAACCTTTTTCGCTCATGGGGAATTTGTAAGGAAACTAGCTTGTTTGCAGAACGTAGAAGTGGAAAACACATTTAATTTCATTGATAATTTGCATTATAATTTACCATTAATCATTATCAAAATGTGTAGCAAGGGTTGAAAGTGCTTGGTATAGTTTTAAGTAATTACGAGGCGCGTCCTCAAAGTAAGTTTCCCTGGGGCCGTTTACAGAAACAAAACACAATTTCATGGAAATATTTATTGCAACAGATACAGCAAGTGTCCAGCTATTTTTCAACATATTCGCCACCGGAATTGAGACATTTGTCATACCGTGGGACCAACTTTTGAATACCTGGG